GTTTCATTCCATTGTTCCTGACTGCAAGAGACGGCATGAAATACCTGGATGACTCATACCCACAAAGTCAGAGGGGATCTCCACTCACCACAAGCTCAGACTGCAGGGGAAAAGGGGGGCAGCCATATTACCCCTGTAGAAGCAGGCAAAGAAGGAAGCCCAACCAACAGCGGCACAGAATTTGGAAACCTCAAAGTCTTTAAGCTCCTGAAGTGGTATCAACAACCAAGTGTGAAAGGGGTTCCCTTCCTGTGCCCATAACGGACAAAGAATGCATCCGTTATAGAACTCAGCACTCGTGCCAATCTACAGTCTTACAGCCTGAAAAGGGCAAAGTTGACATTAGAACACAGGTCCTCTGCCTCCTCTCTGAGTGCCAAAGGCAGACAAAATAATAGGTATGACAGGTGGACAGCATTCTGGAAAGAAAAGAAGTGATGAGCAACAAAGTAATCCCACGCCCATTAGGATGACAACACAAACAGTCCTTGGCAGCAGACAGGACATGAAGTTCAGTTACATGCTTTGTTGATGCAACAGTGAGAAGAAAGGCAGTCTTACCAGATAACCATCTCTGGTAACTCCCCTCGAGGGGTTCAAAGGATGGAGAAGACGAAGCTTCCAGAACGATTGTGTTTTCCATGAAGGAAGTGACAGCATGTTGTGGCCAAAGGCAAAGAGCACCATTCAGAAAATGACCCACCAGAGGATGACACCCAACATAACAATTATCCACCACAACATGATGGGCTGAGACAGGCGCGACATACACTTGGATAGTTAAGACTGAGAGCCGGTGGTTCAGTAACATTTGGAAATACAAGCTTAGAGCACTGCTAAGGGACCACATGTTGATCTTTACATCAGCTGGAAATGAGCTTTCACCTATTGGTAATACAATACCCTAACTAATGATGCCCAATTAATTAATATGGTCTGGGCCCGGGTTTCCTCACAAGAACTCAAAGGTTTGCCCAGCCCTTCAGTGACCATACATATAGATGAAGGAGATCTGAGTGTGGAAGAAAAAACACACCCCTGCAGCTGAGATTGGACATCAAAACTCAGTGGGATCACTGGGAACCAAACTCTCCCTGGTCAGTATGTATCCCTCTATCCTGTGAAGTGCATGAGCAAAGGAAGCAAGAGAAGACATACAGCAGGCAATCTGGCCAGGGGTGTGCCAGTGTGTGCTCTGGTAGCCCAGTTGGTTTTAAGGGAGAGAAGAACAGTAGATTGCTTTGGAAATGTTGAGACACCAAACAGGTTGACTGTCACACCGCCATATATCCTTTCACTGGGACAGGGATTCTAGCAGCACGCCTGCAGCCTCATTGTGCACGCCTGTTAAAAAGCCAGATACCTCATCAGGTTGCTTGCACCACTCAGCTCACATATGTAATTTTGACGGCATTACGTCTTCATCCCTGTGCATGTGTGCGATGGATATCCAGTTATTTCATAGTCTCTTGCAGTCAGATAGAATGAAACAG